GTGACAGCAGTGGCCAATGCAGCAAATGTTTATTACAATTATAACCAAAATGCCAATTTCACCTGGTGCATTGATTTTAATATTTGTGGAGATCAAGGAACCGGAGGACTTGGGGATGATGCTCTCGGATGGCCATGGCAAGAATGCTCGGAAATCATAATGGCGATGTGTGCATCTGGAGGAGCTAATGACGTCTTCTGGTCTGAATGTGGAGATAATATTTATGATACGCTGAAGCAGGGATGTGTTTCGATTTTCGGAAGTATGAAGTGGACAACAGCCAACTGGAATATTGATGCAGTAAAGACGCTCTACGGATATGACTTGAGTGGATCCAGTAACCTAATCTTAACGTAAGCCTAGTGCGATGGGGCGAGATTGCTGTAGACTCTAAATTTTGCAGGCAAGGACACCTTGACCCATGGTCTGGAGGCGGTTACAAAGTTGACCAAACCAATACTGCCCGTGGAATCTATGTCATGGAAATTCCCGGTTCTGCACATCATTTAGATTTGAGACAACCAAATACTTGTGATCCGAATACAGTGGTTAATGCTAGATATCAGGTAAGGCCCCCTAGATAATCTAGTTTTCTCCGTAGAGCGCGTTACCTTTCTAGCTTTTCTGCTTCTCTTGACGTCACTTCTCGGTCTTTATATTTTGAAGCGGTATCTCAAGAACCAGAACAGCTACTCAATTTTTGTAAACTAACAAAATGTGTAAAATTTTAAGAGCTACATTATCCTAATTGAATAATTTCAAAAATCTTATTTAGTTTCCGAGATACAGCGTTTCAAAGATCACTCGCTCTAAAGAAGAGTAGAAGGGTGATGACCCTCCCTTGTTGGACGTGCAAAATCTCCGAACGCTTATATCTCGCATACCAAAACGTTATCGAAAAATTATTGTTAACTAATGAAATATGTATATTTCAAAAGCTACAAAATACTTGTTGACAAGTTCAACGGAAATTTTGAAGTTTTTGAGATACAGCGCTTTGAAGAGTTGTCGCTCTGAGCGAAAAATGACCAACTAATAAAATGTGTAAAATTTCAAGAGCTACAATTCATCAGTTCACAAATTTCAGATATCTATCCCACAAATTGAGATAACTTGAAATTTCCAGATCGTTCAAATCCTGAAATGCTGGGTTGACGTAAACTGCAACACCATCCCAACCATCTCTCCTCTTCCAACTCTCTCCATTCCGAACGTCGAGTGCAAAGACAGAATCGGAGAGTATCCATGGGGACAAACTGACAAGGCAGCCGCGACGTCTTCTATTCTAATGTCTTGTATTCTGGCACTTGTCTATTATATGTTCTAGAATAAAGTTTTTGATGATTTTCCAAACTTCCATTACATCATTTTTCAGCCAAAATTTCAAAATGTTCCTTTAGAAAATAGTGACTTTAAGACACTAATCCGACCATCCTCCTTATCGAAATATGTTTGGGGCGTCGGCCTTGTCTTAAATAAGACCTAAACGAGAGAGGAAGTGAGTTCCGTTTCATTTTTAAAGTTTCAAAATGCAGATCAGAAATTTTTTGGTCTTATTTGCTTTGATTTTTGCAGAATCGGATGCCAGCAGAAGACACCATAAGGTAAGCTTTCTCGTCTTTTTAAGCTGAAAATTTCTAGAAGTTTGATAAAGCTCTCTTTCGCTAGGCCTAGCTAGCTTCAGCTTAGCTCTAGATACAGTACCCGGCCAATAGAATACAAAAAAAAAACCATGTTTTCAGTTGATTTTCGGCCTATCAAGTTTCCAATCACTTTGAAAACTCTCGAGGATCTAAAAGAGGCCCAAAACTTTTCAAAAATTCTTTTCTGATCCTTTTTCAGTTCCATAGACATCTGGTGGCGTTGGGAGAGGCGGCTGACGGGACAACTTCTGGCGCAGCGGTTCAGACATCGTCAGTAGCTCCAGATGCCAAAACTACAGCTAATGCTCCAATCGCCACGTCATCTGCTGCTCCAGAAGTAAAGACACCTTCAGCGGCTCCAGATGTCAAAACTACTGTAGTCATTCCAATCGCCACGTCATCCATCGCTCCTGCAATCCAGACATCCTCAGCAGCTACAGCAGTGAAGACATCCAGTGCTGCCCCAGTCGCTACGTCATCTTCTGCTCCAGAAGTGAAGACTTCCTCCGTTGTTCCTGACGTTCAAACATCGTCAGCGGCTCCTATCGCTACGTCATCTAACGCTCCAGATGTCCATACATCGTCCGTCGCTCCAATTGCCACGTCATCCGCTGCTCCAGTCGCTACGTCATCTTCTGCTCCAGAAGTGAAGACTTCCTCCGTTGTTCCTGACGTTCAAACATCGTCAGCGGCTCCTATCGCTACGTCATCTAATGCTCCAGATGTCCATACATCGTCCGTCGCTCCAATTGCCACGTCATCCGCTGCTCCAGTCGCTACGTCGTCTGCTGCTCCAGATGTCAAAACTACTGTAGTCATTCCAATCGCCACGTCATCCATCGCTCCAGCTGTTCATAGCTCTTCCGCAGCTCCAGCAGCTCAGACGTCTTCAGCAGCTCCAGCTCACCAGACATCCTCTGTGGCTCCAGTTATTCATTCCTCCTCATCTGCCCCAATCGCTGGCTCCTCGTCCCTCTCTTCGGAACCCCAATCCTCCACAGCAAGTATTCCTTCAAACTCGACATCTTCAGAATCCACCCCTTCTTCTATTCTTCCTCCTAGCACCACATCAACCCTTCCATCCACAACTACATCATCCGGATTCTCGAATTTCTCATTTTTCAGTACTATTTTGGTTTTGTGCTTGATTTTCTAGATTAATAAAAGTTGTTAAAACCTTTAAAAACTGAAAACCAAAAAAAAAGAAAAATAATGTTTAATAAATAATGAAGCTGATGCTCCTTTAAAGGTACAGTAATCCACATGCTCATCTAGCTTCAATGTGGTCAGAAGCGCGTTTTAAAGGCGCATGCTCCTATAGCATAACCGCAAGCGCCGTAGGCACATTTAAAGGCGCATGCTTCTGTTCCTTTCCTACAGTATCCAAGTTTAAAAAAAAGAGCAAAAATAATGACAAAAAAATCTAGCAAAAAATAAAATGAGGGATGCGCCTTTAAAGGTGCATTCTCCGAGCCCAATTTAAAGCTCCAAAAGCCCACAAAGCTCCAAAAGCCCAAATGCTCCAAAAGCCCACAAAATGAAAAACAAAAGAAAACTGATGCACCTTCAAAGGTACAGTAACCCGAATAAAAAACCTCAGACTTCATATATAGTTGAACTACAAGGGATACAAAAAAAGACAATCAATCAATAAAAAAATACAATTCTACTGCTTAAAATACTGTTGCTCGACTCTCTTGGTGAATTCAATGAGATTCGTGTATTTTTTCAGAATATTCGTGATATTTGTCAGCGGAAGACGGACGGTGATCAGCGTGTACATGTGGCCGAATAGAAGAGCATCGGCTTCTGTTGGCAAGTCTCCAGTCAGGTATTTTTGAGTGCCAAGTTGGGCGGAGAGGGCACGGAACACCTTGTCCGCTTGCTCGCCGACCTCGTCCATTGTCTGCAAAATTTGAATTTTTCAAAAAAAAAAATTTTTTTAATTGAATTTTTTTTTGAACTTTTTGATCCATTTTATCTTGGCCCCTATGAAAGATATCAAAAATCTGTCAACTGATAATATGCTTCTCACATTATAATCAACATTTTATCAGTTGAAATATTCCTGATATCTCATACAGGAACAGAGATAAATTGGCTCACAGATTAAGCAATTTTGAAATATTGAGCTCGTCAACTTTGAGCCAATTTATCTCGACCCCTATACTAGATATCAAAAATCTGTCAACTGATAAAAAGTTTCCGATAATGTGATGAACATTTTATCAGTTGACAGTTTTTTGATATCTTTCACAGGAACCCAGATAAATTGTTTCAAAATTTGGGAATTTTAACGGAACAGTTTGAGCTTATCAACTTTGAGCCAATTTATCTCCGCTCATATCAGAGATATCAAATGTCTGTCAACTGATAAAATGTAGCTCACATTTTGATAAACCTTTTTATTAGTTGACACATTTTTACATCTCTTACAGGAAGCAAGATAAATAGGCTCAGAAATTGAGCCCTCCTACCCCCCAAAAGTGGGCGGGGCCTAAATTCTAAATCAATCCAAAAACGCTAAAAACGCTTCAAAACTCTTTGAAAACTCCTCTAAAACCGCCCAAAAACCGCTGAAAATCCATTTTTGAGCATTTTTCAAAAAAGTGCCCGGATGGCCTAGTGGGAATTTTCATCAAAATCTATCAATCTGAAGGTCGCGGGTTCGACTCCCACCGATGGCAATTTTTTTCGTTTTTCATCCAGATGTCCCTCCCTACCGTACCTTTGCACCCAATCCTTATCAGCGAGCTCTTCCAACACGCTACGACGCTTCAAAAACGGCAAAACCGTGGAGAGGGGCCAGTGATAGACGCTACCGTACCTCAGACGTGTCACCTTGTCGTACGTCTCGTCGTGTTTCCAAAGAACAAATTTCTGGAAGAAGATTTTTGGGTTTTTGGGTTTTTCTAGGCCATCTTGTCGGGATTGTCTATTATATGTTCTAGAATAAAGTTTTTGATGATTTTCCAAACTTCCATTACATCATTTTTCAGCCAAAATTTCAAAATGTTCCTTTAGAAAATAGTGACTTTAAGACACTAATCCGACCATCCTCCTTATCGAAATATGTTTGGGGCGTCGCCTTGTCTTAAATAAGACCTAAACGAGAGAGGAAGTGAGTTCCGTTTCATTTTTAAAGTTTCAAAATGCAGATCAGAAATTTTTTGGTCTTATTTGCTTTGATTTTTGCAGAATCGGATGCCAGCAGAAGACACCATAAGGTAAGCTTTCTCGTCTTTTTAAGCTGAAAATTTCTAGAAGTTTGATAAAGCTCTCTTTCGCTAGGCCTAGCTAGCTTCAGCTTAGCTCTAGATACAGTACCCGGCCAATAGAATACAAAAAAAAAACCATGTTTTCAGTTGATTTTCGGCCTATCAAGTTTCCAATCACTTTGAAAACTCTCGAGGATCTAAAAGAGGCCCAAAACTTTTCAAAAATTCTTTTCTGATCCTTTTTCAGTTCCATAGACATCTGGTGGCGTTGGGAGAGGCGGCTGACGGGACAACTTCTGGCGCAGCGGTTCAGACATCGTCAGTAGCTCCAGATGCCAAAACTACAGCTAATGCTCCAATCGCCACGTCATCTGCTGCTCCAGAAGTAAAGACACCTTCAGCGGCTCCAGATGTCAAAACTACTGTAGTCATTCCAATCGCCACGTCATCCATCGCTCCAGCTGTTCATAGCTCTTCCGCAGCTCCAGCAGCTCAGACGTCTTCAGCAGCTCCAGCTCACCAGACATCCTCTGTGGCTCCAGTTATTCATTCCTCCTCATCTGCCCCAATCGCTGGCTCCTCGTCCCTCTCTTCGGAACCCCAATCCTCCACAGCAAGTATTCCTTCAAACTCGACATCTTCAGAATCCACCCCTTCTTCTATTCTTCCTCCTAGCACCACATCAACCCTTCCATCCACAACTACATCATCCGGATTCTCGAATTTCTCATTTTTCAGTACTATTTTGGTTTTGTGCTTGATTTTCTAGA